GCTCTTGGAGGGATTTCAGGATTTTGTGTGTGCCTACCTTGATGATATTGCTGTATTCAACCGCACATGGGGAAACCCACCTGGAGCACATCTCTGTAGTGCTCAACAGAATTTGGTCTGCCGGTCTAACCTTAAAACCTGACAAATGCCATGTAGGGATTCCAGTACCTTGGGCACAGAGTGGGCTCCGGTAAGCAGTGCCCTGAGCCACCCAAGATTGAGGCAATAGCCCAGTGGCCCCAACCCATACTCAGGTGTTGGCTTTTGTAGAAACGGATGGATATTACCAGAGGTTTGTCTGTGACTACAGCACAATAGCTAAGCCCCTTACTGACCTCACCAAAAAGTCCCTACCCAGACAGATCTTATGGTCCCCAGAGTGTAAGGAATCCTTCCAGAGGCTAAAAACTGCATTGAGCGATGCACCTGTATTGGCTGCACCTGACCACACTAAACGATTTCTCGTTCATACAGATGCCTCAATGTTTGGACTGGGAGCCGCATTAAGCCAGGTGAGGGAGCACCTGGTGGCCTATCTGAGTAGAAAATTGTTATCTCGAGATGTCAGCTATGCCACAGTGGAGAAGGAGTGTTTACCCCTAGTTTGGGCACTAAATAAACTACAGCCCTACTTGTATGGACATTCCTTCACTATCATCACTGACCACAACCTCCTAATTTGCTCAACCGAGTGGCCAGAGACAACCCCAGACTTTTAAGATGGAGCCTGGCACTGCAACCTTACAACTTCCCTATGCAGTACAGGCCAGGAAAGCAGAATGCCAATGCTGATGGGTTGTCCCGACAAACCGAACTGGAAAAATCACTTTTCTGGACATCCCCAAGCCAACCCGTTAGGGTCTAGGTGGGTATGCCATTCCATGGAACTGGGGGGAGGAGTGATGTGACAACACTCACTATTTTGCCTGTGTCGAATGTATTCCCCTTCTAAGTTTGGTAATATGTTCCCGAACCCCATTCATGTTTTCCTCATTCAGGAGCTACAATATACCGACCACCCCGTGTCTCATTAAACATCAAAGAAACCACAAACACCTAGGAGCCAGAAATCTTGCTGATTGATAGGGGATCAAATACCTATTTCACTCATTGACATGCAAATCAATTTATAACTTTTTGGAAGTGTGTTTTTTTGGATTTTTTTGTTGTTATTCTGTCTCTTCTGTGATCCCCCCCTGTTCAAAATCAGCAGAGGATCAAATACTTCTTTCCCTCAGTGTAACCGAACAACATGTGCGCTGGAAAACGGCGTCTGTCTTGTCGCACGAACACAGGCAGTGGGACCTGGTCGTCGAGTGTTTCTGAAACCCATTTTATGTTTTCACCGTTCAGTAGCAACAATCTACCAAACACCGACAACCCCCTGGCTCATCAAACATTAAAAAGAAAACACAAACTCAAGTGCTTTCTCTGTGTGGCCATCTTGTCGCACAAACGCAGGCAGCAAGACCTGGTCGTCCAGTGTCTGCAACTGTAAGTCAGACACTTGACCTCACGACCAGCGGCGATTTCATTTGTGTGCCTGCTTCTTCCCACGACAAGCCAGGAGAACGCTGTTCCGTAGGATTGTTCGCATGAACAGGGTGAACAATCGCTACCTATTACCCAGGGGATCTGTTCGTCTTTTTGTTCGGTTTGGAACTCCTGAAAATGACAGATCGCTACCACTGAATCTCTGGAACTGATTTGGGCAGACGCTACATGTGAGGTTAGTCAAAACTTTACACCGTGGCGATTTGGCAGTGCTCGTGGGTTCTAAGCGCAAAGTGGACCGGTGAATATAAGTCAATATGGCCAAAGTCTACCGGTTGAGAAAACAGTTAGCTGAGCACGTTGGGTCTCCTTTGCTGACCTATCCATAGAAACAGTGGTCAACAATTTTTAAAAACATTTTTTTAAATGTAATATTTTCCAACATAAAAATAATGTATTCTAAAAATTCCTGTTTTTGTGTGTATTTTTGTGTTTACACTGTTTGTTTTTCTTCAATTCCAATTTATTTTTTTGTATACATTTAGTTATATAACCAGCTAAGCCTAATGTACAAGAAACATTATCTGAGCAGTAACATGGCCTCTTGCAGTCACCCGAATAGGATGTGAGTACCATACAGACAAGGCGGGTCTCTTCACTTCATCACTGCCACATGTTGCCAGTCTCTGGCCACATTGGTCAAGGAGAACAGGGAGGTGGTGAACTGATCCTTTTTGTGATCTAAGTCTTCCATCATAGAGGCTATCTGTTACCCCAGGTTTGCAGAGTTCATAACCCTGTCATAATGTAAAGGCTAAACACTTCAACACGCAAACCAAGGGGCTATGAGTATCCTATACTATAGAAAAGCATAGTACTAGTCTTTAGGGTAACCGGTCTTAACCCCTTGACGACCGATGACGGTTCAGGAAAAATTCCCTTGGGGACCGATGACGGTCCTGAACCGTCATAACGGTCTGGGGCTACTTACCTGACCGCCATCGGTCCCCCGGCGGCGATCAGTGCTCCTCCCGGTCCAGGGGGACTGCCTGTCTGCCCAGGCAGTCTCCCCTGGGCAGATCAGGACCCCGCGGCCATGTGATCACTCGATCACGTGGCCGCGATAGGTGCCTGTGTATCTGCCTGCAGGGGGACTGTCTGTGCTGACAGGCAGTCTCCCTGCAAGTGGAAAATCAAAAATAAAGTTAAAAAATAAAGCAATCAGTGTAAAAAAAATAATATGCATATATATATATATATATATATTTATGTATATATATATATATGATATATATACATGTATTATATCTATATATATATATGTATATATATATATATCATATATATAATGTCATACTAAGTGTATTTTTATATTTATATATACGTAAATTAATATAAAAATACACTGTTAATTTAAATTACACACGTGTATATATACAATATATATAATAACTATATATATTGTATATATATATTATTATAAATAATGTTAATAAAAATAAATAACAAAAAGTAAAAATAATTTTTAATAATTAAAAAATAAATATATATATATATGTAATTTTATTCTAACAGTATTTTGATATTAATATATATATATATTTATATCAAAAGACACTTAGAATGTAATGATATATATATATATATATATATCTATGTATAAATAAATAAATAAAAATAATACGAAATATACATATTCCATATACATAATTACATAAATAATTTCATAAATATACACGTAAACGTCAAATATATAAATATGTATATATATTAAAATTCTATGTGCGTATTTATGTAATATTTTTACCTAATTAAGTAATTTTAATGACTGCAATTTGAGAGACCTGCCTGCCAACCCAGGCCTAAAGTCCAGAGAATTTAATTTGCTAGCACTGTGTTTAACCCTGTAACTTTCTATGACACCCTAAAACCTGTACATGGGGGGAACTGTTATACTCGGAAGACTTCGCTGAACAAAAATATTAGCGTTTCAAAACAGTAAAACATATCACAGCGATGATATTGTCAGTGAAAGTGATGTTTTTTGCATTTTTCACACACAAACGGCACTTTCACTGATGATAATATTGCTGTGATACATTTTACTTTTCTGATCCACTAATATTTGTGTTCAGCGAAGTCTCTTGTGTATAACAGTACCCCACATGTAGAGGTTTTATAGTGTTTGTGAAAGTTACAGGGTCAAATATAAGGCTTGATTTTCCTTTTTTTTTTTTTTAATTTGTCAGATTGGTTAGGTTGCCTTTGAGAGCGTATGGTAGCCCAGTAATGAGAATTAGCCCCATGATGGCATACCATTTGCAAAGTAAGACAACCCAAGGTATTGCAAAGGTATTGCAAATGGGGTATGCTCGACATTTTTTAGTAGTCACAAACACTGGCCAAAGTGAGCGTTTTTTGCATTTTTAACACACAAACAAATATAAATGCTAACTTTGGCCAGTGTTTGTGACTAGGTGGCTACTAAAAAAGACTGGACATACCCCATTTTGAATACCCTGGGTTTGTCTACTTTAAAAAAATATGTACATGTGAGGTGTGATTCAGGGATTTATGACAGATAACAGTGTTACAATGTCACTACTGATAAATTTAAAATATATATATATATATATATATATATATATATATATTGAAACAGCAATTTCCTACTTGTATTTATAGGTCTATAACGTGCAAAAAAAAAGCAATAAAGCATGTAAACACTGTTTTTAAACTCAGGACAAAATTTTTAATCTATTTAGCAGTTTTTTTCATTAGCTTTTGTAGATAAGTGAAAGTCCAAAAACATGTTTTTTTTAAATTTTTCACAATATTTTATTATTTTTTTAAAATAAAATATATGACATGATACAAATAATGGTATGTAAAGAAAGCCCTTCTTGTCCTGAAAAAAACAATATATAACTTGTATGGGAACCGTAAATGAGAGAGAGGAAAATTACAGCTAAACACAAACACCACAAAAGTGTAAAGACTGCTCTGGTCCTTAACGTAAAACATTGCAAAAACAGGCCGGTCCTTAAGGGCTTAACAAATGAAAGCACAGAAAACAGTCTGCAAGCAGACAAGTGTAAATAGAGACAAACTGTTGTTAAGAATTAGAATCGGGAGAACGTATAAACAAAGCTAAAGTCAGGGGTTCCAGATCCAATATCAGAGAAACGTCAATAACCATATCACACACCACAAGTCGAAACACACTCTTGATATTGGAAGCTGTTATATTCCTTTATGCTTACTCCTTATTAATATATAAATATTTGTTTTCTGCTGACTTCATTAGCCTCTGCGTGGGCACGTGTGAAACTGCACTAATAATTTAATCTAATTGCTTTTATTACGAACAAAAAAAACCAAAAAAACATTTAAAACAAAACAAAAAAAACATGCTCTTGATAGTGATGTCCCGAACGGTTCGCCGAACGGTTCGCCACGGATGGCGAACATATGCGGTAAACTTTGACCCTGTACCTCACAGTCAGCAGACACATTCCAGCCAATCAGCAGCAGACCCTCCCTCCCAGACCCTCCCACCTCCTGGACAGCTCACTAAGAATGCAGCTTCACAAATGGATGCTGTCCAGGAGGTGGGAGGGTCTGGGAGGGAGGGTCTGCTGCTGATTGGCTGGAATGTGTCTGCTGACTGTGAGGTACAGGGCGAAAGTTTACCGCATATGTTCGCCGTCCGCGGCGAACCGTTCGGGACATCACTAGCTCTTGACTAACAGAGACCCGATAGGGCAAGGATGAGTGTTCAGGAAAACCCTTATATAGTCCTAAAGTCTTACCTATTGGTCTGCCTCAAAATTGACTCTGAAACATGCGCGACTTTTGCCAAAATGATGCGGCCCAGGGTGGTGTCAAAATATTATGCAAGCATCAATGCACATAAATAGAGATCTCTAGTGTTCTGTGTCCGAAATAATGCTACAATGAGGCACAGCATTTTAACAGTGCTAGGGACATGACAGTCACCTCTCTCCCGTTTCTTCAGAAAAAGGAAGCTATTCAACAAAGTCCATAGCTGTTTTGGAACAATGTTACTGTTGTCTGGCCCCAAGTTTTATTATAGCTTGCCCATTGCATTAATGGTCTGTCTCACCCAAATATTATGCAGCTGGCAAAACAACATAATGTTGCTCCTTTTACAAGGCTTCACTCATGTAGCCCCATGTAGCCACTGCGCAGCTTAGCGGAAAAGGGCCTTGACAGGGGTTAGGAGGCGGGCATAGGAGGGACCAAGCAGGACTGTGGGATTATGGGATGGGGGCTGGCTATTTAATAGGCAGCAATTTTAAGATGTGCACATTAATTTCTGCCTAGCTGTGTTTGTGGTTGCCTCTGGTATTCACTGACCTGCTAGGTAGGGTTTTTCTCTTTTTGTCTCCTCTGCAGGGCCATGGAAGAAGTGGAGCGGCTCCTGGATGGGATTCGGACGGCGGCGCGGCAACAGGGCCCAGACTGGGCGAAGATGCACCTGGGGCCCCTCCTAGCGGCGGCAGATGGCGGCGGCGGTCGCCCGGCACGGGCCAGGAGGCCACCAAGGCGTTTGAGTCCGGGCGCGGGGCCCGTGACTCCCTTCACCGGCGGTGCTGCGGCTGGGGAAGAAGGCCGCGGCAGGCCTGGAGGCCGCGCGGTCGGGGCACCGCCTCCCGGCGGCCGGCCAGGGCCTCAGCAGGCGGGCTCTCGGCGGGCTGCGGCCCTGGCAGCAGACGGCGCACCCCCTGGACCGGTAGGGGCGGCGCCGGGACCGGCGGACGCACCGGTGGTGCGGCGGCCCTGCCGAGAATCGAGCAGGCAGGCCGGGCGCGTTCTTCAGGAGGTGGGAGCAGCGGACGGAGGAGAGCGGGCCGGGAAGGCACGGACCGGGCCCAGGACGGAACAGGCAAGTGCAGGGGGCCCCCTTGGGGGTCCCCTTGGCGTGGGGCACAACCTAGGGGTGCAGCCTGGGGGTAGTGTGTCTGTGGCTAGGGGGGGGAGTGGGGCTCGGGTGTCTGGGGGGACCTTCTGGGGGGACCCAAGGTAGCTCTCAGGGCCTCAGAGAGGGGGGAGCGGGGGGGGCTCTGCGGTAGGGCTTCTGGGGTCATCGGGGGGGTCCCTGGGAGTGCCTGGGAGATCTGCTGGTCGGGTGAGGGAGGTAGGTGTTGCGGTTGGTAAGGAGGGGGTTGGTAAGAGGGCGGTGAAGCATAGGGGGCGGGGGGTGTCTGGGGGCCACCCCAGGGGGCACGGGGCGGGGGGGGCTATGCGGGCTCAGAGGCCGGGTCTAGTGGGTCGGAGGGTGGTGGGCCTGGTGACAGCTCCGGGTCGGACTCTAGCAGCGTTGGTTCTTCACCTGGGAGGGACGCGAGGTCCCTCAGGGCGCGGGGGAAAAGGGGGGCTCGGCGCAGGCGCTCTCCCTCGGGAAGTTCAGTAGAGACTAGGTCAGGGTCATTGGGGCGGGGACGACAGGGGAGGGCAGCGAGGGTTGAGGGTAGGAGTCGGAGTCCTCGGGGCGGGGGGGAGCGGGCTCACGGGGGACAGCGGGAGAGTGGTGCACGGCGGGAGGCCTTGGTGGCAGGCAGGCGCTCCCTGGGTCGGGACGGGAGGGGAGCCGGAGAGCACTACCCCCTGCCCAGGATGTCTTCTCCTCATTTCAGGTCTCCGAGCCGTTCATCATCCACATTGTCGAGGCACCAGGTGGGCTCCCTGGTTGGCGGGACGTCGGCGGATGTTGAGCATCCAGGTCACGCAGCGGTTGACAATGCAGCCCCGGGTATGGACGGATCGAGGGGCTTGGCCGGTGAGTCCAGAGGCCCCCTAGGGTCCAATACACTAGTTCAAACACTTCAGTCACTGCTCCACTCATTGTGGGCGTTGGGTGGCACTTCGGGCGACGTAGGTCAGGTTTGGACGCGAGGGTCCGGCGAGGCGGGGCATGGTAGCGGGGCTCCCGTGGTAACCGCGCCCAGCGGGGAGGCGGGTGTGGGGTCCAGCCTGGGAGAGGTGGGGTGCGAATGGGCGGAATTGTCGGGGGGAGTGTCGGACGCGGCTAGGCAGCATGCTTACGTGTCATTCGCGGGCCCGCTGGGGGTGCACCTCAAGCAGGAGGCGAAAGAAAAAATTTGGAAGGGGGAGTTCTGTGAGATATTCTACCTTCTTCCTCTGGAGGACTTCATTGACCTCAAGGAGGAGGATAAGAAGGACGAAAAGAAGGAGGAGGAGGAAAAGCGGAAGCGGTATCGGAAGATACCGAAGTCCTTCGGGAACTGGCTGAGGGCCTTCTGCGTCCTGGCCAGTGTGATAGGGGAGAAATCGCCGAGTTCTTGCTCTTCCCTATTCTGTTACTTGGACGGGATCTGGGAAGCGTATTGCACCTACGGCGGGCTGGCTTGGTGGCGGTACGATGAGCAGTTCCGGCAGCGCTTGGCAGCCAATCCGGGGATGAGGTGGGACCAAATGGACCTGCCCCTGTGGATGAAGCTGATGATGGCGCAGAAGGCACAGCCCTTTCAGCATGCGGCTGGCGCAAAGGGACAGTCCGCCTCGTCGGCCGCCTTGCAGAAGGACTTATGCTGGTCGTTCAACGAAGGTCAGTGCAAGTGGGGGGCGGCCTGCCGCTTCAAGCATGAATGCGCGGGCTGTGGTGGGACTCACGGGCTCCAGAGATGCTATAAGAAAGGTAAGTCGGGCGGAGCCGGAGCTCCTCCCGCGACCGGGGGCGGTGGGACAGCTGCTGCCCCGGGGCCTAACCCTGGTGAGGCTCGACGCGATGGAACCCTGGCTAAGCCGCTACGGTAATAAGGGGAACGCGGAGCTGCTTAGGTCGGGGTTTGGACAGGGGTTCTTCATCCCCTTCCGGGTGAGGGGGGGTTCGTTGTGTACGCGTAATCTGAAATCGGTGAGGGAATTTCCGGATGTGGTCCGGGAGAAGCTTAGTAAAGAGGTGCGGTTGGGCAGGATGGCAGGTCCATTCTCAGCGCCGCCGCTTGAGGGCCTTAGGGTGTCACCACTAGGGGTGATTCCCAAAAAGGAGATCGGGAAGTTTCGGCTCATTCATCACCTGTCCTATCCTAGGGGAGCGTCGGTGAATGACGATATCGATGGGGACTTGTGCTCGGTCTCTTATGCATCATTCGACCAGGCGGTCGAGCTGGTTAAGAGGGCCGGGCGCGGGGCTTTACTGGCCAAGGTGGATATCGAAGCTGCTTTTCGCTTGCTTCCGGTTCATCCGGCTTGTCACCATCTACTGGGGTGCTTCTTCGAAGGAGGTTACTTCGTCGACTTATGTCTCCCGATGGGCTGCTCCATTTCGTGCTCCTATTTTGAGAAGTTCAGTACCTTTCTCGAATGGGTGGTGCGGGTGGAGTCGGGGAACGAAGCGGTGGTGCATTATTTGGATGACTTCCTCTGCGCGGGGCCGGCGGGTTCTCCCGCCTGCCGGCACCTGTTGCGGACAGTTGAGTGGGTGGTGGGCCACTTCGGGGTGCCGTTGGCGGCGGACAAGACTGAGGGCCCGACCGAGTGCCTCAGCTTTCTGGGTTTGGAGATAGATTCGGTGCTTGGGGAATGTCGGCTGCCTCTGGCTAAGTTGTGCGGACTGAGCAGTGCGGTGACCGCGGTGCAGCGGGCGTGTAAGGTGACCCTGCGGCAGCTACAATCGTTGATCGGGATGCTCAATTTTGCCTGCAGGGTGATACCTATGGGTAGGGTGTTCAGCCGCAGCCTGTCGGCAGCCACCGCAGGGGTCGGTTTTCCACACCATTTCGTTCGGGTCTCTTCCTCGATGAGGGCTGACCTGGACGTCTGGAAGGTCTTTTTGCAAGACTTTAACGGGACGGTGTTCTTCCGTCAGGAGGGTGTGTCCACGGCCGAATTGGAGCTGTTCACCGACGCATCGGGTAGCGTGGGTTTCGGGGCCTACTTCGGGGGGAGATGGTGTGCTCAGAGGTGGCCGGAGGCGTGGGGGCGAAGCCCCCTCATACGGAACTTGGCTTTTCTGGAGCTGTTCCCGTTGGTGGTGGCATTGGCCCTGTGGGGGGATCGGCTCCGCGACCGCAAAGTGGTCTTTTTCTCTGACAATATGTCGGTGGTGCACGCCGTCAATAACCAGTCGGCAGCATCCAAACCGGTGGTGAAGCTATTGCGACGTTTTGTTTTGCTGTGCATGTCCCTTAATGTAGTTTTTCGCGCGCGTCACGTGCCCGGGTATTTGAACGAGGTGGCTGATGCTCTGTCTCGTTTTCAGTGGTCCCGGTTTCGGGCGGCGGCTCGGAGGCTCAGGAGACAGGGCAGGCGTGCCCGGACGAAATGTGGCTGCTCGGAGCATCATGCTTGGGGGACTTGTGAGGGCTTCGCTGGCACCAGCCACCTGGACCGCATACAGTAAGGTTTGGGGTGCCTGGGAACGTTCCTGGGAGGGGCTGGGCCAGGGGCCACAGGTGGAATCGTCGCAGGACGCCTTCCTGTGGGTCACCTTTCATTTGCTGGCAAAAGGTGTGTGTCCCGCAATGGTTGATAGGACCATGGCGGCGATGGCCTTTTGGTTTAAATTCCACGGGTGGGAGGACCTCACGAAAGCGTTTGTCATTAGGCAAGCTCTCAAAGGGTATCGGAGGGGCCGGAGGGCACCGGATGCTAGGCGCCCGGTCTCGGTTCGGGTGC